AATCAATCAAATTTTATTTATAAAGCCCTTTTTATATCAGCAGATGTCGTGGTCCTCTGTCCTCTGTAGCTCAGCTGGTAGAGCACGGCGCTTATAACGCCAAGGTAGTGGGTTCGATCCCCGGGACCACCCATACACAAAAATGTATGCACGAATGACTGTAAGTCGCTTTGGATAAAAGCGTCTGCTAAATGGCATATTATTATTATTTTATTATATTACAAAGTGCTAAACAGAAACCCAGCCTAAAACCCCAAACAGCAAGCAATGCAGATGTAGAAACACGGTGGCTAGGAAAAACTCCCTAGAAAGTCAGGAACCTAGGAAGAAACCTAGCGAGGAACCAGGCTCTGAGGGGTGGAGATTCCCTTCTGGCTGTGCCGGGTGGAGATTATAACAGTACATGGCCATTAAGGCCAGATTTTTCTCCAAGATGTTCAAAAGTTCATAGATGACCAGCAGGGTCAAATAATAATCACAGTGGTTGTAGAGGTTGCAACAGGTCAGTACATCAGGAGTAAATGTCACTTGGCTTTTCATAGCCGGGCATTTAGAGGTTGAAATAGCAGTTGCGGTAGAGAGAGAGAGTTGAAAACAGCCGGTCTGGGACAAGGTAGCACAGTCTATCTCTGTCTCCTTTCACGGCAGATGCGGAAGGGCGACATCTGTGGACGCAGTGGATTGAGACGCAGCCCATGCAAAAATATATACAAAATAATACATCTTCAACTGACGGATTTTAATGGGGATTTTATTGTTGTGCTAATTAGATTTCCTCAGGGCCGCAGACATCAACTCTAGGGGTTAATATAAGCTCCCTGTCTGTGAAGCCACCAAGCATTGGAGCAATGGTCAGGTAACGTCAGAGTCACACAGCTTTTACTTTGAAAACAGCTAGCACACGTATCCTCTTGCAAGCCCCTCCTCTCTACGCCCACACCGTCTCTGTTTATTACAGTTTTTCTCCATTGGTTTGGCTCATTTCTTGAAACAGAAATTACATTCTCAAAACTACATGGACAAACCTCCAAACCACGTGGCAATTGTTCACAACAGAATTGAATTTCTCATTAATTTCATCAAATTGCAAATGTCTAAGTACATGTCTCAATGTCTCAGTACATCTTTGCAAATGATTAAGTACAGGTAGCCTACATTTAGCACAATTTCCAAGTGAATAGATCTTGTTGATCTAAACTGATTGTTGATTCTCAGTCTAATGGTTGTTCGCTCCAAAACGTGTCAGCGTCATTTCATTGTATAAGTCATCACATGCACAATAGTCTGTTCAATTGTCAAAATTAGTCAAGAACATAATACCATGAATACCATATATGAATCCCTTGGAACATTTGATAAATTTATTACAGCAATTGACAGTCAGGTGAAACTAGAACTTGACTAACGAAGGAGGAGTTTCACACATCTCAGATGACCAATCAAACAGTATGTTTAGTTACCTGACAGGTGCTGTCCATGACTGTGAATGCTGCCAAACATGTATGTAAAGAGCTTGACCATGCAGGACCAGTACAATTTCTGAACATGGAGGCACCTGGCCAAGTAAATGAACAAGGGCAACTGCCTGCTCGAGGAAGAGGAAGAAGAAGAGGAGGAGGAGGAGTAAGGGTGTGTGGTGGTGGAATAGGGGGAAGAGGGCGAGGAGCACGAAGACACCATGCTGTCCCGGATGAAATTCGGGCCACAATTATAGACCATGTCATCAACCATGGCCTCACAATGGCGGAGGCAGGTCGCCGAGTGCAGCCTAATGTGCCTCGCTCAACAGTCTCCTCCATCATCCAAACCTTTCGCAGGGAAAACAGGTATGTAGTCAGTCAATGATGGAATTATATGTTGTATAGGACAGGACACTGTGCATAGAGCAAGAAATATATTTATTTACATATTTACCTATTCATTTAGTGTGTGTGTGTGATAGGCCTACAGTAATATCTTACCTCAATGGGATGTTATGATACTAAAAATGACAAGAAAAACATTGGAGAAAATAAACTATGGAATAGTTTATTTTCTACAGTATTGATGATACAGTTTACAGTAGTATTCCAGTCACTGTGCAGTGATGCATTAGAATTGTGGTAAAGTTACTGTAAGTAAAACAACAATACAATTACATAGGTAACTCATTCTGTAAGGAATACATAAGGTATACATTACGAATGGAGTGTTGTCCTTTGACTTCTATATCTAGGATTGGACGACAACCTTGCACAGGTGGCAGAGGAAAACTTCTCAATGAACAACAAGAACAAGAGATCTGTAACATGGTGATGGCAAATAATGCCATCACATTGAGACAGATCCGCGCTGCAATCCTACAAGACAATGCCATATTCCAAAATGTCAACTCTATAAGCATCTCCACAATAGACCGGATATTGAAGAAGCATCAGATGACAATGAAGCAAATTTACAGGGTACCATTTGAGAGGAACTCTGATAGAGTGAAAGAGCTGCGGTACCAGTATGTACATGTAAGTCAGTTACTGGTTGTCCATCATTATAACATTTTTACAATTAAGCAGTGGTTCCCAAACTTTTTTGGCTTCAGTACCCACTTTACCTGATTTGTGTATCCAGGTAATCCAGGTATGGAAGTATTTGATTTATCTGACTTCAACATTTCGCCTAAAAACTGCAGCTTACTGTATGATGCAATTATCATTATAATCCTTATTTTGAAGAATATAACATACAATAAGAAAAGGGGTCAAAGAGCTGCAATTAGTGCCTCCCATGTAAATCTATCTAATACTGTGGGTTTTACTGTAACATTTCAGTAAGTCTAGTCATTGATGATTTCCCCCCTCCCCTTTCTGTCAAATACCCCCTGTAGTACCTCTGCATAGGGGTACATGTACCCCAGGTTTGGAACCACTGGAGTAGTGGCCAGTAGTATATTGAACTTGTGGAGAACATAGAACATTCCTATGTAATTGTCTGTAACTGTAGTGTATGACTCTTCTGTATGACTGATTTGATGTTTTCTTTTTTTACGCTATTGTAGAGAATAATGGCATTGGAAGGAAACGAGACCCATCACATCCTCGTGTTTGTGGATGAAGCTGGCTTCAACCTGGCCAAGGGCCGAAGACGTGGCCGTAATATTATTGGCCACCGGGCCATGGTGGATGTCCCAGGCCAGCGAGGGGGCAATATAACTATGTGTGCTGCCATATCGGAGAATGGTGTGGCCACTCACATCCCCAGTCTTGGCCCATACAATACACAGAAGCTCCTCATCTTCTTGGACCGCCTTCATGTTGATTTGATCCCTGAAAATGAGAGCGGTCTCGTAGGGCCTCACCTACCACAATATGTCATTGTATGGGACAATGTGAATTTCCACCGTGGCCCGCTCATCAGGGCCTGGTTCACTACTCATCCAAGGATGGTCATGGTGTTCCTACCACCTTACTCTCCTTTCCTCAATCCTATTGAGGAGTATTTCTCCGCTTGGAGGTGGAGAGTGTATGAGCATCGGGCTCAAGATCAGAGGTCCCTGCTCCATGCAATGGACGCTGCGTGTGAGGATATTACAGGAGATCAGTGTAGGGGATGGTTGCGACATGCACGCCGTTTCTTCCCTCGTTGCATCGCAAGGGAGAATATACGCTGTGATGTGGACGAGAATCTGTGGCCAGACAGACAGCAGCGTGTGGATGGCCAGGAGGGTGAGGACAGCGACCAGTGAAGAACTGTTAGTTGTGAAACTCCAGCTTTATTTACAGCACTGTAGGCTGCATATAATTTTCATTGTTTTTTGTTTGTGTGTTTATATTACAGTATATTATGCTGTATACATTTTCTTTTTACTCTGATGTATGGAAGTTACTTTATGTGTGTGAATGATAATGGTTACAATTTCCTTGGCAGTATGAGTGCAATGTGTGATGTCAAACCTTGGAGGCTACTCTTACCCTAAAATCCTATTTATTTTTTTCAGTTTTATTCACAATTGTATTCTGTTAGCTAGACAAAAAACAGTACAGTAACCATTGTCAATGAAGGACTGGGCTAAGACTGAAAGGTGGACATGAGGGATATTTCAATGGTCCTCTGCCATAGTGACAAAACATCTAAACATTTTGACTTGCAGTGCTTACACAATGCCAAAGGGACGAAGCATTTTGGGGGCACTGACTGTTTAAATGAGAAGGAAATTTAGTTTTGACACATGCGTGAACTGTTTTGGGAGAGGTATGAGCTTTTGCAGGTGAACCATGGTGTTGTGCCGAACCATCCACGTTATTTTGGCTAAAGCACCAAGAGTGTTGAGAACGTCCGGTCTGTTTCAAGAAATGAGCCAAAGCAATTGAGAAGGATCTTTGCCATTTTCGTGGCACTGACTCCTTATATGGGAAAGGAATTTAGTTTTGAAGCATGAGTGAACAGTTTTAGGAGAGATATGAGCTTTTGCAAGTGAGCTATAGTGTTGTGCTGAACTGTAAGACTGTTTTGCCAAATGATCTTAGAGTTTTGAGAATGTAATTTCTGTTTCAAGAAATGAGCCAAACCAATGGAGAAAAACTGTAATTCAATCTTGTGGAAGACATAAGAAAAATGTCTCTATAGAACAACATGTCAGATGGTGCATTGGAGACTGATGTGTTCCTGTCCTGTCTTTTCATAATATCATTGTAGATCTACATAAAAGACAGCCGTGGTGTTGCTCTTCATTTCTTGGTGGTTCTGTGGTACATATAAAGACCGCTACATCTGTAGGTATAAATCGCTACTTTGACAACATTTGTGGTATGGGGAATTCTACATGAGTACCTTCAGTTCAATAAAATAATTGTTAACAAACCGTAATAGCCATCACTAGCTGTCTGACCACTGTGCAACATTTACAATTCACAATACATGTGGAAGAGTATCATGATAACAAGAAATTAGCTTCCGAGGCTAATTTAGAAGTAAATTAATGGGAATAATCTAGAATAAGTAATAACTCATTAGTAATAAATAATCATGTATCTATATTTCATCTTTAATGAGCAGCATTTTAATTCACAGATTGAACAAATCAATATACTTGACTGAACAAATAATCAATATAGTAAAGAATCTGTATGTACTTTCACCAAAATAAACTCTGTATGAAAAATATCCCTGTATTTCTTTCTGTAGTGCTTTTTTTCTTTGTACTTCCTTCTTTTCTTTAAAACAACATTTTACTTACAGTTATAGAAAACTTTTTATATAACTATAGTTTTCTAAACCAGAAACTGAATCATCAGCTGAGATCTGATACAGTATCTCTGAGACTATAGATAGACTAGACACATTTATAAAAGTCAGAATAATACATTAAAATGTATTTAGAGGTTCCCCCAGTTTTGGTTCTACAAGAATCATTTTACATACACCCGCATAACAACTGTATACAGAAAATTATACTTTGCAAGTCCGTTGAGGAAATAATGTGCAGTAGTGGAAATCAGTAGAGTTGCAATTTGCCATACACAGAGAGACAACAGAGCTGAAATAAGTAATAATTAGCATACACTTCAATTTACACCATTATGATCAAATACATTCATTATCATCATTAAAAATCATATTTAAAAAAATAAATATATAGCTATTCATTCTGTGGATTCTGAAGCATAAAGCTGTTTCCCATCGGTTCTTGCATGAAGTACACATATAGAGTTGGTTCTTTAACAGATTGTGGGTGAGCTATGCTCTCCAAGGAGTAAAAGGGTTTAGGTCCAGTCTCTGACAGAAACTCTCCTCACTATCTCAAAGTGTTTGTACATTTTTGGGAGATTAGCTTAGTCTCAGAGAGAATAGTTTTTATCCTCCAGAGAACTATCCATCCAGGCCTCCTCAATGTACAAAACTCCTGTGCTGAGCTGGAGACTGACAGAATGGAGAGTGACAATAGCAAACTGTCTAACTGTGTGACGTCACAACCCAGCTCGTGACTACAGGAGGAGCAGGGAGTTTAGCACACAGACCGTCTTTCAGACCCTCTAGAAGGTGGGCATCATAGTGGCAGTGTCCACATAGCCACTGGTGGTCAGGCACATGCTCTCCTGGAGCTGGGTAGCTACAGGCCCGTCTTTGGCCGCCTTGCCCTGCTGCTGTGTGGGACATCTCTCAGCCGAACCCCCCTCCTTCTCCTGGTAGTCACAGTACCGCCCAGCCTCAGCCATCTCCCTCTGCCTCTGCAGCAAGAGCACGTTGTCATTGTTCACCCCGTTGACTTTACTGTAGTCCACCCCGGCCCCGCCGAACTGCACCTGGAAGGGGCCCCGGCTATGGCTGGAGAGGGGCTTCAGCACCAGCTGGTTTTCCTGGTTCACTTTCTGGACCTCCACGTACTCCATGGACCGGGACGGGGACAGCCCAAGCACCGTGGCTTCTCTCTGGTGCTCCTGATTGTGGATGTTGAAGTTGATATGGGCCTGGAGGTGCTGGGCTTCCCAGTGGGAAGCGGCTCCAGCGGACGGGGATCTGCTGAGACGGTACTCGCTGTACTCTCCCAGGCTGTACTCTGGGTGGTGGTGGGAAGAGGAGGTGGATGTGGGGAAGAGATGATCTGGGATGCTGTATGTTGTCTCACTTGTGCTGTGCTGCTTGGGCATCTCAAGTGTACCATAGTGGTGGTTGTCGGAGGATCCATGGATCGACGGGGAGAAGACTGACGGCCAGGTCTTGACCCTCCCATTTGATGAATCTGGGCTGTCCACCTCCTGGCTGTCTCCCCTCTCCAGCCTCTCCCAAGACCCCGCCTGGCCCTGCAGTAGCTCGGGTTCCTCGTAGCTCGACTCCTCCTTGGACTCCACACCTCCACACTTCTCCATCAGCAAGGTGTGACTGTCACAGCTGCCCCGGCCTGAGTCGCTGTCCGACTGGTTCTTGGACTTGAGGCAACCGACATCTTGGAGGTCTTTCCCCTCCAGCATCAGTTCCTGTTTCTCGTTGACGTAAACCTCCAGGTATTCCACCAGCAGATCCTCGTAGTCGGTAGACCTCGGAGGGAAACTTTGGACTACCAAGGCGTTGAACACCTCTTCTGACTTCCCATTCTGTAGACAGAGCAAACATTGAGAAAACATTGCGAAAACATTGCGAAAATATTGAGACGTTGAGGGAACTAATGAAATCACTTTACCTTGAGAAGCTGTTTATCAAATCCTTTTATTTTAGGTCCAGGAACTGGAGGTAGTAGACAGTGCTTCACACTAGAGGGAAAGAGAGAGTGACTGAGTGAGTGAGCTGTTCATGAAAATCACCAAACAAGGACACTTTAGTAGAACAGAGAGTACTGTTGCTATGCAATCAGCTTCTTCATTGACTAATCTAATCTAATCTCATGACTGTGACTTCAGAAGGTCCTTCTTACCTGGTTCTGTTCATGGTGATAATCCATGTGAGAATCAGGAAGATGAAGGCAAAGAAGACTGCTATCAGGATCCACATGGATCTTTCCCGGGGGATATCTGTCAACACAACAAGAGAATAACATTAGAATACAACTTTTTTTTTGGTAACAGAAATGTGTGTTTTTGCTGTCTGTGTTTTTGCTGTCTGTGTTTTTGCTGTCTGTGTAGTTTTAAATAATGTACAGACACCACATACTCCCCCAAGAGGCTGGAAGCAGCACAGCACATTAGTGACTGATGTGCTGTCTGTACATTATTTAACACTATAACAACAATAGAGGCGTTGTTGCCCACTTCTACATCTAGGTCTACGGGCCATTGTCTGTACTGATGAAGACTTACAGTCTGGGACTTTGACATAGCTGGCGGCGCTCCACTCGCTCCAGAAGCCGTGGTCTGGTTTGCAGCGGACCTGGACCATGTAGATGCCACCAGAGTGCAGGCTGAAGATGTTGAACATTTTCTGCTGACCCGCGCGGTGCTCCTGTTAGGGAAAAGACAAAAGATAATATTAGAGATTGTAAATAACCACAAGGGCATTGATATGATGCTTTCATGAGTACTTTTTATAAACATGCACTTTTATCCAATAGCAGTGCATGCATACTTTTCTAGTGTGTATAAGTGATCCCTGTTGGAATTCAACCCTCGACCTTGGCCACAAGATACAGGCCTGACCCTTTTCTGAGTAATGATATATGGGTAACATAGTTAATGATGACTTTGATCGTCTGGCTTTGAAAAGTTTCCATGAACCTTCTCCGAACGATCCTTGAAGGCTTGTGTTTTGTCTAACTGGTTGATTATTCATATAACTCAGCAATAATTACCAATCTTAAACCAGGGAAGTATATCTAATCATTATTTAACAGGCCCCGTGATAAAGACATTGGCCAGTCAAGCATTGTAGCTGTAGGTGATAGATTAATTTGTATTTTAAGAATAATGACTAAAGGATTTCACCCCAAATACAGTATAAATGTGTGAACGGTGTTAAGAGTTATAATGTAGTGTCAACCCACTAACAGAGGGGGGCGGGACTAAACATTCCAGGGTGAAGGGGACTGAGAAGCTGTTTAAAGGTGGGCGGAGCAAAGTGCCTTTGTGTGTCAGGGGGTATAAAGGCTGTATATGTATTTTTTGGCGGCAGAGCTCTCCATGATTAAAACATACAGATCATTCTTGTTGGTTGCGGACCTTCGTTTAATTCATGATTAAACCAGAGCCTTACACCCTCTGGGAATTATTCAAAGCATTACGTTTGATTAATTAGAGATATAAATTCTCGTGACAGTAGGAGAGTGGTGGAACAAGTACCCAATTGTCATACTTGAGTAAAAGTATAGATACCTTAATAGAAAGTTACTCAAGTAAAAGTGAAAGTCAGCCAGTAAAATACTACTTGAGTAAAAGTCTAAAAGTATTTGATTTTAAATATACTTAAGTATCAAAAGTAAAAGTATAAATCATTTAAAATTCATATTATTTAGCAAAGCACAATTGTCTTGTTTTTTAACATTTCAGATAGCCAACACTCAGACATTATTTACAAAAGATGCATTTGTGTTTAGTGAGTCCGCCAGACCAGAGGCAGTAGGGCTGACCACGTGTTCTCTTGATAAGGGCGTGAATTGGACCATTTTCCTGTCCTGCTAAACATTCAAAATGTAACGAGTACTTTGGGTTGTCAGGGAAAATGTATGGAGTAAAAAGTACAATCTTTTCTTCAGGAATGTAGTGAAGTAAAAGTAAAAGTTGTCAAAAAATACAAATAGTAAAGTAAAGTACAGATACCCCATAAAAACGACTTAAGTAGTACTTTAAAGTAATTTTACTTAAGTACTTTACACCACTGCTGTAGGGCAGATGACTGGGTTGTGCCTAAAAGGGCTAACTGCTCCCTATGTGTAGATCAGGGGTTCCCAACCTTTTTTCCCCAGGGCCCCCCTTTTACGACCAAATGTCCTGTAATTATACATAGTTTACCAAGACTCTTGACATCGTTTAGGCTATTTAATGATGATAATAATAAAAGCAATAATAATCATGGATTAGTGGTTAAGAGCTTTGGGCCAGTAATCAAAAGGTCGCTGGTTCTAATCCCCGAGCCGACTAGGTGAAAAATCTGTCGATGTGCCCTTGAGCAAGGCACTCAACCCTAATTGCTCCTGTAAGTCGCTCTGGATAAGACCGTCTGCTAAATGACTAAAATGTAAATGTAAAATGATATGGAAAATAAATTCACTCGTGCATCAGTGTTGAGTCTTCCTCTGGCATTTTACTGCTTGTTTCTAGCCTAAAGCATTGTGGATGTATTTGATCCCCTGCTGATTTTGTACGTTTGCCCACTGACAAAGACATGATCAGTCTATAATTTTAATGGTAGCTTTATTTGAACAGTGAGAGACAGAATAACAAACAGAAAAATCCAGAAAACGCATGTCAAAACTGTTATAAATGGATTAGCATTTTAATGAGGGAAATAAGTATTTGACCACTCTGCAAAACAGTACTTGGTGGCAAAACCCTTGTTGGCAATCACAGAGGTCAGACGTTTCTTGTAGTTGGCCACCAGGTTTGCACACATCTCAGGAGGGATTTTGTCCCACTCCTCTTTGCAGATCTTCTCCAAGTCATTAAGGTTTTGAGGCTGACGTTTGGCAACTCGAACCTTCAGCTCCCTCCACAGATTTTCTATGGGATTAAGGTCTGGAGACTGGCTAGGCCACTCCAGGACTTTAATGTGCTTCTTCTTGAACCACTCCTTTGTTGCCTTGGCCGTGTGTTTTGGGTCATTGTCATGCTGGAATACCCATCCACAACCCATTTTCAATGCCCCGGCTGAGGAAAGGAGGTTCTCACCCAAGATTTGACGGTACATGGCCCCGTCCATCGTCCCTTTGATGCGGTGAAGTTGTCCTGTCACCTTAGCAGAAAAACACCCCCAAAGCATAATGTTTCCACCTCCATGTTTGACGGTGGGGATGGTGTTCTTGGGGTCATAGGCAGCATTCCTCCTCCTCCAAACACGGCGAGTTGAGTTGATGCCAAAGAGCTCGGTTTTGGTCTCATCTGACCACAACACTTTCACCCAGTTCTCCTCTGAATCATTCAGATGTTCATTGGCAAACTTCAGACGGCCCTGTATATGTGCTTTCTTGAGCAGGGAGACCTTGCGGGCGCTGCAGGATTTCAGTCCTTCACGGCGTAGTGTTACCAATTGTTTTCTTGGTGACTATGGTCCCAGCTGCCTTGAGATCATTGAAAAGATCCTCCCGTGTAGTTTTGGGCTGATTCCTCACCGTTCTCATGATCATTGCAACTCCACGAGGTGAGATCTTGCATGGAGCCCCAGGCCGAGGGAGATTGACAGTTATTTTGTGTTTCTTCCATTTGCGGATAATCGCACCAACTGTTGTCACCTTCTCACCAAGCTGCTTGGCGATGGTCTTGTAGCCCATTCCAGCCTTGTGTAGGTCTACAATCTTGTCCCTGACATCCTTGGAGAGCTCTTTGGTCTTGGCCATGGTGGAGAGTTTGGAATCTGATTGATTGATTGCTTCTGTGGACAGGTCTCTTCTGTACAGGTAACAAGCTGAGATTAGGAGCACTCCCTTTAAGAGTGTGCTCCTAATCTCAGCTTGTTACCTGTATAAAAGACACCTGGGAGCCAGAAATCTTTCTGATTGAGAGGGGGTCAAATACTTATTTCCCTCATTAAAATGCAAATCAATTTATAACATTGTTGACATGCGTTTTTCTGGATTTTTGTTGTTGTTATTCTGTCTCTCACTGTTCAAATAAACCTACCATTAAAATGATAGACTGATCATTTCTTTGTCAGTGGGCAAACGTACAAAATCAGCAGGGGATCAAATACTTTTTTCCCTCACTGTATAGCTTAGATAACGGTGATCCCCAACTCTGCTCCTAGAGACCTGCATTATACTCCAGGTTTTTATCCCAGCTGAGCTTAATGTCTTCATCACACTGGCCTCAACTGATTTTCAACACCTTGATTAGCGAGTCAAGTGGTTCACTGCTGGGCACATGCTGGTACAGAGCAGGAATGAGGATCACTGCGGGATTGAGGATCACTGCCCTAGAGGTTACAAACTGTCTGCTCCTAATGAATCTTTTCTAATCACATCACTTCCTCTTCTTCAGTGTAGCTGCAAAGGCATCACTCCCTGATTGTGGTTGCCATTGTGAACGTTCTGAATGTTCTAGTGTGTGGTTGCTGTGGCAAACATTCTAATTGTGTTTACGTACCTCCCACTCCTCTGCCTCCTCCAGTTTGACCCTGAGCTCATAGATAAGGGTGATCCAGCCGGAACGTGTGTCAGCCTTACGGGGCGGCTCCCATGACACCCTGAGGAAAGGACCATCTTCGTCCTCCAACACCCCCACCGTCACGTTCTCTGGTGTGTGTGGCTGGACTGAAGAGGGGGGACAGACGGATACTAATGTCAATGACCATGTCTACGTCCACGGGGTCAAGTTTCTGACCTCTATAGACCACGTCTACGTCTACGGGGTCAAGTTTCTTACCTCTATAGACCACGTCTACAGGGTCAAGTTTCTTACCTCTATAGACCACGTCTACGTCCACAGGGTCAAGTTTCTTACCTATATAGACCACGTCTACGTCCACAGGGTCAGAGAAGTTGCTGCCGAGGGCGTTGGTGGCCACTACAGTGATGTTGTAGTTGATCCAGATGGATGTTTCATTCTTGTTGAAGAAACAGGAGTTGGCCCCCGCTGTATGGTAGTCTGGACACTCATAGACTGTTTCAGAGCTGGAGAGGGACAGAGAGAGGGACAGAGAGAGGGGCAGAGAGAGGGACAGAGAGAGGGACAGAGAGAGGGACAGAGAGAGGGACAGAGAGAGGGACAGAGAGAGGGACAGAGAGAGGGACAGAAAGAGACAGTTAGTTCCAGTTAGAGACAGAGTACAGACAGTGAAGTAGTCTGGACTCTCATTGACTGTGTCAGAGCTGGAGAGACAGGGACAGAGAGAGCGCGACAGAGACAGTTCCAGTTAGAGACAGATAGTGAAGTAGTCTGGACTCTCATAGACCGTGTCAGAGCTGGACAAAGAGAGATGACACAGAGATGACAATGTGACATAAGTGAGGAACAACGTGTCTGGACAGGAGGGGGAATAAGTGTTCGTGTGGAGGCATTGTTATGGTTTTTCAGTCTTGCTATTTCCACGACAGTGAAAAAAACAAGTCAACATCCTTTGCCTTTGTGTGTACATAAACAATTCCTGAAAAACATCAGTGTGTTTGTACCTAAGCCTGCGTGTGTAGATGTGTCCAAGACAAGTGACCAATGGTGTTTATGAGTGAGCATGTGATAGGGGGTAATGCGCGCATGGGGGGGGGGGTTGCTTCGTGGGTGTCCGCCTCCAGTGGGCATGTGATAGGGGATAATGCGGGCATGGGGGGGGGGGGTTGCTTCGTGGGAGTCCGCCTCCAGTGGGCATGTGATAGGGGGTAATGCGGGCATGGGGGGGGGGGGGGGGGGGGTTGCTTCGTGGGTGTCCACCTCCTTGCCAGTGGGCATGTATTACCACTCACTTCTCTTTGTGGTAGAAGAGGGAGTAGGTGGTGGGTCGCCCCCCATCAGAGCCTGCCTCCCACCAGCAGGTGAAGGTCTCCTTATCTGGGGACCTGCAGCTGGTCAGCTTGGGCTTTCCTGGGGGTGTGTGGCCTGAAGGATAGACAACCGGTAGACCAGGTCAGACAACAGGCACAGAAGGCAGCACAACACACAACACATGTGAGACAACACACAACACCTGTGAGACAACACACAACACCTGTGGGACAACACACAACACCTGTGGGACAACACACAACACCTGTGGGACAACACACAACACCTGTGAGACAACACACAACACCTGTGAGACAACACACAACACCTTTGACAGTTAGACCAGCTATTTCCTTATTTCTTTTATATTTCATTTGACCTTTGTTTGACCAAGTTTTCCCATTGAGGTCAAAATATATCTATATATAATATATCTACAGCATATACACTACCAGTCAAAAGTTTGGACACACCTACTCATTCAAGGGTTTTTCTGTATTTTTACTATTTTTTACATTGTAGAATAATAGCGAAGACATCAAAACTATGAAATAATACATATGGAATCATTTAGTAACCAAAAAAGTGTTAAACAAATCAAAATATATTTTAGATTTTAGATTCTTCAAAGTAGCCACCCTTTGCCTTGATGACAGCTTTGCACACTCTTGGCATTCTCTCAACCAGCTTCACCTGGAATGCTTTTCCAACAGTCTTGAAGGAATTCCCAATTATGTTGAGCACTTGTTGGCTGCTTTTCCTTCACTCTGCGGTCCAACTCATCCCAAACCATCTCAATTGGGTTGAGGTCGGGTGATTACGGAGGCCAGGTCACCTGATGCAGCACTCCATCACTCTCCTTCTTGGTCATATAGCTCTTATACAGCCTGGAGGTTTGTTGGGTCATTGTCCTGTTGAAAAACAAATGATAGTCCCACTAAGCGCAAACCTGATGGTTTGCGTATTGCTGCAGAATGCTGTGGTAGCCATGCTGGTTAAGTGTGCCTTGAATTCTAAATAAATCACAGACAGTGTCACCAGCAAAGCACCCCCACACCATCACACCTCCTCCTCCATACTTCACAGTGGGAACCACACATGCAGAGATCATCCGTTCACCTACTCTGCGACTCACAAAGACATGGTGGTTGGAACCAAAAATCTCAAATTTGGACTCATCAGACCAAAGGACAGATTTCCACCGGTCTGATGTCCATTGCTCGTGTTTCTTGGCCCAAGCAAGTCTCTTCTTATTATTAGTGTCCTTTTGTAGTGGTTTCTTTGCAGCAATTCGACCATGAAGGCCTGATTCACGCAGTCTCCTCTGAACAGTTGATTTTGAGAGTGTCTGTTACTTGAACTCTGTGAAGCATTTATTTGGGCTGCAATCTGAGGTGCGGTTAACTCTAATGAACTTATCCTATGCAGCAGAGGTAACTCTGGTCTTCCATTCCTGTGGCGGTCCTCATGAGAGCCAGTTTCATCATAGCACCTGATGGTTTTTGCGACTGCACTTGAAGAAACGTTCAAAGTTCTTGAAATGTTCCGTATTGACTGACCTTCATGTCTTAAAGTAATGATGGACTGTCGTTTCTCTTTGCTTATTTGAGCTGTTCTTGCCATAATATGGACTTGGTATTTTACCAAGTCTATCTTCTGTAGGGCTATCTTTTGTATACCACCCCTACCTTGTCACAACACAACTGATTGGCTCAAACGGATTAAGAAGGAAAGAAATTCCACAAATTAACTTATAAGAAGGCACACCTGTTAATTGAAATGCATTCCAGGTGACTACCTCATGATGGTGGTTGAGAGAAAGCCAAGAGTGTGCAAAGCTTTCATCAAAGCAAAGGGTGGCTCCTATGAAGAATCTCAAATATAAAATATATTTTGATTTGTTTAACACTTTTTTGGTTACTACATGACTCCATATGTGTAATTTCATAGTTTTGTTGTCTTCACTATTATTCTACAATGTAGAAAATAGTAAAAATAAAGAAAAACCCTTGAATGAATCGGTGTGTCCAAACTTTTGACTGGTACTGTATAATAGATCTATATATAATAGATCTATATCAAAATTATCTATTTTACTTGTGGCTGTTTAGGTTCCATCAAAAAAGTTATCTAGATATGTTATCAGTGTATTTCCAATGTCTACTGTGATGGGTGTAGTACTGAAACTACAGTAAGCCTTCAGCCGACACTGTTGATATGCTCCATGCATAGTCTTAATCATTCTGGACACACAGTCTCCCTTTAATTCAGCCAGTTATATACGGACAGTGCAATCCAAATCCAATCAGAGGTTACATGGCCGTGGTCTTTGACTTAAATGTTCCGAGTGACCACAGGCAGATTAGTGGCAGTATCATACACGCACGCACACACACACATGCACACACACACACACACACACTTTGTGGTCTGTGACTTACGCGCTCCCTGAGCGACCACAGGCAGAATTAGTGACAGTATCAGTGTGACTCCCGCGTCTCTCCACATCATGCCTCCTCACTGCAAGTCAGTTTGAATTCTGGGAAAACAGAGACAGAAACAGACCAAGCATGAAGCATGACCAAGGATCAACCTATCAGGTGTCTCAGAACACTGAACACCAGAATGCTAGACAGGTGACATCATCTAATTGGACCCCTGGTTGTCTTGTGTGATCAGTAGAAACAAGACTTGATGTTAGGGGAAACAACATGGTTACTACCAGTATATGCCGGTCAGCCAGACTGAAGAACACAACGGAAATATGTTTTTTTGTATAATCGTCCTTAATGATTTTAAATGCAGTGTATCAACGTGTGTGGTTAGTGGAGGAGTATTTATTTTATTGACCAAACAAATTCTAGCCATCTGACCAGTTACATAATGAAAAAGGTCAATATGTCTCAATGGTTTCTAACTAATTGACTTATTATCTTGTTACATAAAATAGCTCTACCTCCATCTTCAGGCATCTCTGTGTTTATTTTACCTTTATTTAACCAGGAAAGTCAGTTAAGAACAAATTCTTATTTTCAACGACGGCCTACACCGGCCAAACCCGGACAACGCTGGGCCAATTGTGCGCCGCCCTATGGGGCTCCCGGTCACGGCCGGTTGTGACACAGCCTGGAATCGAACCAGGGGGTCTGTAGTGACGCCTCAAACACTGAGATGCAGTGCCTTAGACCGCTGCGCCACTCGGGAGCCCAATAGTAATGCAAACTGTAGGTAAGCGTATTCGTAGCCTCAACTAGATGAGATTTGGAAAGACAGCCATTCTAGACTCGAGTGTTAGTGCCGTCAGTGTCAACTTGCTTCAGTTTGACCATCATACCCTTGTCCAGGTGGTTGAGTTCAACTTCTAACCACAACGTGTGTGGTTTAAATGACTGTTTCTAATCCATGCATGGCCCCATTGAATTTCCACAGTCATGCTTCTGGTCTTGATGTTTACCACCATTCAAGTGAACATCCATATAAGATCAGAATATAATATTGAGCTAAGGAAACATCCATATCAGATCAGAGTATAATATTGAGCTAAGGAAACATCCATATCAGATCAGAATATAATATAATATTGAGCTAAGGAAACATCCATATCAGATCAGAATATAATATAATATTGAGCTAAGGAAACATCCATTTAAGATCAGAATATAATATTGAGCTAAGGAAACATCCATATAAGATCAGAATATAATATTGAGCTAAGGAAACATCCATATCAGATCAGAATATAATATTGAGCTAAGGAAACATCCATATAAGATCAGAATATAATATTGAGCTAAGGAAACATCCATATAAGATCAGAATATAATATTGAGCTAAGGAAACATCCATATAAGATCAGAATATAATATTGAGCTAAGGAAACATCCATATCAGATCAGAATATAATATTGAGCTAAGGAAACATCCATATCAGATCAGAATATAATATTGAGCTAAGGAAACATCCATATCAGATCAGAATATAATATTGAGCTAAGGAAACATCCATATCAGATCAGAATATAATATTGAGCTAAGTGAACATCCATTTAAGATCAGAATATAATATTGAGCTAAGGAAACATCCATATCAGATCAGAATATAATATTGAGCTAAGGAAACATCCATATCAGATCAGAATATAATATTGAGCTAAGGAAACATCCATTTAAGATCAGAATATAATATTGAGCTAAGGAAACATCCATATCAGATCAGAATATAATATTGAGCTAAGGAAACATCCATTTAAGATCAGAATATAATATTGAGCTAAGGAAACATCCATTTAAGATCAGAATATAATATTGAGCTAAGGAAACATCCATATCAGATCAGAATATAATATTGAGCTAAGGAAACATCCATATCAGATCAGAATATAATATTGAGCTAAGGAAACATCCATTTAAGATCAGAATATAATATTGAGCTAAGGAAACATCCATATCAGATCAGAATATAATATTGAGCTAAGGAAACATCCATTTAAGATCAGAATATAATATTGAGCTAAGGGAACATCCATTTAAGATCAGAATATAATATTGAGCTAAGGAAACATCCATATAAGATCAGAATATAATATTGAGCTAAGGAAACATCCATATCAGATCAGAATATAATATTGAGCTAAGGGAACATCCATTTAAGATCAGAATATAATATTGAGCTAAGGAAACATCCATATCAGATCAGAATATAATATTGAGCTAAGGAAACATCCATATCAGATCAGAATATAATATTGAGCTAAGGGAACATCCATATCAGATCAGAATATATTATTGAGCTAAGGAAACATCCATATCAGATCAGAATATAATATTGAGCTAAGGGAACATCCATATCAGATCAGAATATAATATTGAGCTAAGGGAACATCCATATCAGATCAGAATATAATATTGAGCTAAGGAAACATCCATATCAGATCAGAATATAATATAATATTGAGCTAAGGAAACATCCATATCAGATCAGAATATAATATTGAGCTAAGGAAACATCCATATCAGATCAGAATATAATATTGAGCTAAGGAAACATCCATTTAAGATCAGAATATAATATTGAGCTAAGGAAACATCCATATCAGATCAGAATATAATATTGAGCTAAGGAAACATCCATTTAAGATCAGAATATAATATTGAGCTAAGGGAACATCCATATCAGATCAGAATATAATATTGAGCTAAGGAAAAAAGCTATTTTGATAGAAAATAATAAATAATACACCTGCAACTGCTGAGGGAAAAATATTCCCTCAGAAACAGAGTTTCAGGTGTATTATTCCTCCCAGTATTCTCTGTAGAGTGGACTAGATCCTCTGCATGCTGACGTCCTGTTTAATTGGATAACTAAGAAGGTCAATTAGACTCTGACGACAGTGTTCTCTACACTATGACGTAATCTGTGTACAAGGCAAGCTGAAAGACGTGTAATCTCAAAGAGTGTGCTGTGCATTAAGTCTAATTACTGAGTAATTCAGGGTTCATCCCAGCTCAGCATTTTATCAAACACCCTGAGAAAGAGCTAACATCACATAACCTAGCTACTGTGAAGTAGTCATGAGTCGATTGCATTTTTAAGTACCATACATAAAACGATATATACAAATATATTTAAGGTCTGCAGAGAATAGTAAACATGACAGAAAAGCTGGAGAAAAATAATGTTGTTTTCCCCCTATGTGTGCAAAGATGAACAAAGCTCCTCCTCTTTCCAGCTGGCATATACAGCATATCTGATTGTGTAACGTTAAGAGCTTATGTGTCATCCTAACCAAGGAGAAACACAGTTAGATGGGACGCAGCTACTGCTACTGCTGCTTCTCTATCGGACTGCATTGCAACTCCCATTTGCAGGACTGTGGATCGTGATCTGTGTTCCCTCCTCCTCCCTCCCAGTGCAGTGTTCCCTCCTGATCCCTCCCAGTGCAGTGTTCCCTCCTCCTCCCTCCCAGTGCAGTGTTCCCTCCTCCTCCCTCCCAGTGCAGTGTTCCCTCCTCCTCCCTCCCAGTGCAATGTTCCCTCCTCCTCCTTCCCAGTGCAGTGTTCCCTCCTGATCCCTCCCAGTGCAGTGTTCCCTCCTCCTCCCTCCCAGTGCAGTGTTCCCTCCTCCTCCCTCCCAGTGCAGTGTTCCCTCCTCATCCCTCCCAGTGCAGTGTTCCCTCCTCCTCCCTCCCAGTGCAGTGTTCCCTCCTGATCCCTCCCAGTGCAGTGTTCCCTCCTCCTCCCTCCCAGTGCAGTGTTCCCTCCTGATCCCTCCCAGTGCAGTGTTCCCTCCTGATCCCTCCCAGTGCAGTGTTCCCTCCTCCTCCCTCCCAGTGCAGTGTTCCCTCCTGATCCCTCCCAGTGCAGTGTTCCCTCCTCCTCCCTCCCAGTGCAGTGTTCCCTCCTCCTCCCTCCCAGTGCAGTGTTCCCTCCTCCTCCTTCCCAGTGCAGTGTTCCCTCCTCCTCCCTCCCAGTGCAGTGTTTCCCTCCTCCTCCCTCCCAGTGCAGTGTTCCCTCCTCCTCCCTCCCAGTGCAGTGTTCCCTCCTCCTCCTTCCCAGTGCAGTGTTCCCTCCTCCTGATCCCTCCCAGTGCAGTGTTCCCTCCTCCTCCCTCCCAGTGCAGTGTTCCCTCCTCCTCCTTCCCAGTGCAGTGTTCCCTCCTCCTGATCCCTCCCAGTGCAGTGTTCCCTCCTCCTCCCTCCCAGTGCAGTGTTCCCTCCTCCTCCCTCCCAGTGCAGTTCCCTCCTCCTCCCTTCCAGTGCAGTGTTCCCTCCTCCTCCCTCCCAGTGCAGTGTTCCCTCCTGATCCCTCCCAGTGCAGTGTTCCCTCCTCCTCCCTCCCAGTGCAGTGTTCCCTCCTCCTCCCTCCCAGTGCAGTGTTCCCTCCTCCTCCCTCCCAGTGCAGTGTTCCCTCCTCCTCCTTCCCAGTGCAGTGTTCCCTCCTCCTCCCTCCCAGTGCAGTGTTCCCTCCTCCTCCCTCCCAGTGCAGTGTTCCCTCCTCCTCCCTCCCAGTGCAGTGTTCCCTCCTGATCCCTCCCAGTGCAGTGTTCCCTCCTCCTCCCTCCCAGTGCAGTGTTCCCTCCTCCTCCTTCCCAGTGCAGTGTTCCCTCCTCCTCCCTCCCAGTGCAGTGTTCCCTCCTGATCCCTCCCAGTGCAGTGTTCCCTCCTCCTCCCTCCCAGTGCAGTGTTCCCTCCTCCTCCTTCCAGTGCAGTGTTCCCTCCTCCTCCCTCCCAGTGCAGTGTTCCCTCCTCCTCCCTCCCCAGTGCAGTGTTCCCTCCTCCTCCCTCCCAGTGCAGTGTTCCCTCCTGATCCCTCCCAGTGCAGTGTTCCCTCCTCCTCCCTCCCAGTGCAGTGTTCCCTCCTCCTCCTTCCCAGTGCAGTGTTCCCTCCTCCTCCCTCCCAGTGCAGTGTTCCCTCCTGATCCCTCCCAGTGCAGTGTTCCCTCCTCCTCCCTCCCAGTGCAGTGTTCCCTCCTCCTCCCTCCCAGTGCAGTGTTCCCTCCTCCTCCTCCCAGTGCAGTGTTCCCTCCTCCTCCCTCCCAGTG